AGCGCCGCCGCTGCTGCCGCCGCTGCTGCTGGGACTCCTGCTGCTGGCCGCCCTGCCTGGGCGCTGCCTGGCCGACCCGGGTAAGCACTTGGCGGCCGCCGTGCGCTCGCGGAGGTTTCTGGAGGAGCAGGGCCGCCCGTCGGGGCCGGCACCTGGCGGGGTGGCGGTGGAGGGAGAGGTCTTTGCATCGCCGGCGCTAGGATTTTCTCCGCCCTTTGCTGCTGCAACAGCAGGCGAACTGTTGGAAATCTGTCTCCCGGGAAGGCAGCGCTGGGCGGGGAAGTAAAAAGGTGCTTTCGCATCTTCTTTCTGGACAAGTTGCAGATCTTTCCTAGTGGTCCCCGCGGGCACGCTTCGTTTAGATGAAGACATGATGTGTTTAGGACACCTTAAAAGGGATATGTTTTAGTAGGACACATTTCAGGGTGGGGACGTCCACTATGTTTTGGGCTCCCCGCTGGGTGTCTACTTTAACTGCACGAAATGGCCTGAATTTTAGGCAGTTGACCACTGGGCTCCCTGTCTTCCCAAATAGCGTTTTCTCCTCTGTGTCGAGAGGAGACTCCTTTTGGGGGGGAAAAGGGGACAGAGGTACCTAATTGTTTGCATCAAAGCAAATTGATCAATTGCTTGCATCTTGCAAAGGGATTCAAGCACTGATCAAGTATATAAACCTGTTTGCAGGTGAGTTAAAAAGAATCATGCTTGGCTTTTACATTCCCAAGAATCCCCAGGAAATATGTTTTGGTAATCCCTTGGACGATTTTGAGAAATCTGTTATAACTATTTGGGGGAGATTATTTTCCTAATGTGTTTCAAAACTTACACTGTGCAGTCAGCAATTGTCTTTGAAATAAGAATGATTACTATGGCACTTGTAAAGGGCAGGCTTTTGTTTGTGATGAAATTCTGGGCTCTTGATATATTTCATTTATCAAGGAATAAAGCTCTCACTTCAGCTAATATGATCCTGTAGTTTTGCGTTTCATAGCAAGGACTAATGAGGACTACTTTTTTCCCAGTGTGCCCCTTCCCCCAAATTAGATTAAATTTCCTAATTGTGAAGGCGCTCACACTGTTTTAAATAAGAGAGTTTCAGGTTAAAAATATTTCCTTTCCTCAGCAGCTTAATACAAAGCCCATTTTCCTTTAATTTACTTAAAGGGTCACTGATATGAGGTGTCTGTGTGTACAAGTGACTATCCAGGAATTTTCTATTGTGATTATAGTGGTTATAAAGTTTGGTAATATTTGGCTGTGTGCCTGAGACCCAAGAAAAGCCTCTGAAGAATTTTAACCCTTGGTTTTTATGCTTCTACCAGTTTTCGGTGATGAGTATTTGATATCATGATTAAAAGGTAAGTCCTGAGTCAGACACATGTAAACACACCTTAGTATTTACTGGCTCAGAAAGACACTTTGAGTTTTTATTTATAATGGATCAGACCCTTGATCGTTTTGTAAACTGTTTATGAGACATTAAATTTTGGGTGTTGTTCATTTGAGTGCAGATACCAAAAACTGTCCAAGCATCTGTAGTATGTGAAATTTGGATGTATGTAGTGTTCCTATTCAGCCCGATGTCAGATGATTTCCTCTCATTGGTTTTGAATTTCTGATGTCCCTTCCGGCCTCTGTGTATTGATCTTCTGAACCACTGTGACTTTACTTGGCTCTTCTTTCAGACTGACAGAGCCTGACTTAGGGGACTTCTGATCTATATCTTTCGGGTTTTGCCCAGGTATTCCTTTTCTTTTTTTCTCTTAGCATGATGATAATGGGGAATCACTAGGAAAGATACTTTGATTAAAATGGTGGTAGAAATTATTAAAGTTGATGTTGTTTCCCAGAGTCCTGTGTCTCCCCCTCTCATTGGTGTGACTTGTTGCTTCCTCTGTGCTTTTTGGGTGCTCTTTGTGCTGTAACCCTTGATGAACAATTTCTGGTGGTCCAGCTCACCTGTCGATCCAAAGTCTACCTCTGGACTCCATGGTTTCCTGTGTGTTTGCCGCTGATTCAGTTTTCATGACTTGTTTCTCTCTCAATGGAAGAGTTAATCACTGGGCTCCCTGTCTTGCCTCCTACCTGCTTTCATTTGTTCTCTGATTTCCTCTTGAGGCAGCTTCACCACAGGGTGGGTGAGTCCTGGACCTAATGCAGGGCGTCCCAAGGGGTTTGTGTGAGGGAGCAGTGTCAGGAGGGAGGCAGGAGAATGGATAATGCTTTTCCGGGACCTTTGGCTTTCAACAGACAACCTAGCTTTGAAATTTTCCTGAGAAGTGGCTGCAATTTGGTGCGGCCACTCACTGCAGAATGAGACGGATGCATGAAAAGCCAAACTCATGCTGTCAAGATCCTGCTACAGGTGCTAGCTGGCTACAGTCTTGTCATTTGCATCATTGCCAGTACTTGTTTTCTAAGCAAGGCTTAAACATTGGCCTTGGTTGAAAAATAGGTAAAAATATATTTGTTTCTAAAAAATGCTGTAGCTGTTGTTCGGAACCTTCGTGTCCTGGAGCCCCTACAGTATGTTCCTAGCCCACCTGCACGCCCTCCACCCCAGGTTCCTTTTCTTTAACATTCCTGAGGAATCGGGGTTCCTTCTCTTTCTCACATTAGGGAAAGCCTGCTGCCTTGAGTATCTTCCCTCAGACCTCCTCTCTTACCTTCCATCTCCACAAAAACCTTGCTTCCAGACAATAACTTCTGTTTTGGATGTGGGAGATTGGTGTGGGAAAGATGGTTCTTTATAGCAGTGAGCTCTGACACCCTCTAGTTGTCTTCTGCCCTCTGGGGCTCCAGGCAGAATGGTA